TGTGATGTAATAGTGTCAAAGTTATGTGGTAATCATTAGAAGTTTCGTTATTTACTAGCAAAATTTCAGTTTTGTTTTTAAGTAAAACAATAAAAATCGTGAACAATAATCAACAGATTAAAAGAAGCAATTAACTTTAGAAACATTTGAGATTTCAAAACCTGAAACTACGAAATTTATTATCTTTCGACCAAAATATTTGAAACTTGAAAATACAACACTAGAAAACTGAACTGCATTAAGTTAGGAGACCAAAATGTTTGAAAGCATGGTATTACAAAATTATGTGAGTGGCATCTTTTGTGCACGTGGACTAAAAGGCCAATTTAGTTTAAAGTTACAACCAAACATTAGAATCTGATAGAAATGAAGCTGTAGGTAAATACGAAGAAGAGATGGACTGAGTGTAAAACTCAAAAATAAAGACAAATTGAAAATCGCATTCACGGTATTAATTTCTTTTTCTTTTTTTGTTAATAAATGTCACAAAAATATTATCATTTCACTACTTTAATGAGGCTTCCAGTTCATTTGATAAAAAAGTCCAGAAATAAATCCATCTTGGAGCTAAACTTTCGACGCCGCGAACCGATGTAAACATATAAATTGTTTTAACGCATCATAACAGACTCCCGTGTACAGAATTATATACTCTACATGGCTATAAACCTGGTGTACGGGGTTCTCACAATAAATACACGTAAGAAGCCGCTGCGACCGCTACTCGGGGTTTCCCTTGTGGGAGTATTACTTTATGGAAGTCGTATTGTGAGAAATTCCTAAGTGTAGTCTAATAAAATAGCCTCTCTGCATGAAAACAGTGTCATGTAGAATAACTAATTGTACATATGATATCCTCCATTTATGCACGTTCTATATGAATATATCTGTCTGTTTGTCCGCGAAATCTTTCTACGGTGTCTTTATCTATATGGATTAGCTCCCATGTCACCCAGACATGATGGGGGGTAAAGAAGTAGGTTTTCAGGGTCGCTAAAGTCGAAACTGGTATCGGATTTTGTGTTTCTGGACCCACTCGGGATCCCGGAGATGACATTTTTGAAACTGTGGCCAAACTTTCACTAACAAGCAGGTACCACGGGTGGGTGTTCCAACATTTTTTGAGAGGTATGGACCTCCCTTGGGGTAACTATGAAAATAATTAGAGACTATGGAGGAGCTTGATCGATGCATTGGGGACTTGTGAATCATGGAGGGGGATATTTTTACTAATCAACTGAAAGCTTGTTGTTTCTTACTAACAAACAGACAGAGTCGCGACTTGATTACCAACTCTCTAATTATCAACAGACAGTGTCACACTTTGATTATCAGCTCTGTAATTATCAACAGACAGAGTCACACTTTGATTATCAGCTCTTCAATTATCAACAGACAGTCACACTTTGATTATCAGCTCTGTAATTATCAACAGACAGAGTCACACTTTGATTATCAGCTCTGTAATTATCAACAGACAGAGTCACACTTTGATTATCAGCTCTGTAATTGTCAACAGACAGAGTCACACTTTGATTATCAACTCTGTAATTGTCAACAGACAGAGTCACACTTTGATTATCAACTCTGTAATTATCGTCTCTGATCATCTATAACTGTTGACATTGACTTGTTTTCTAACTGTTGACTCTGTGCAGTTCTCTAGTTGTTGATTCTGATTCTATCTAATTATCGACTCTGATCATTTCTAACTGTTGACTCTGAATATATATTTATCTTTTCTGAATAGTAAAAGATCTGTATTTTGAATTAACTAAGCAAATTAGCAAACTTTTTTTTTTATGTTGAATTATTGACTTAGAATATACGGCTTGTTCATTTCCTTATGAACATGAATTTCAAGAGATATCAGTGCAAATCGTCCCCAAATTTGAAGTGATAGACTAGAGAGAATGCAGCTAATCAACACCACCCACTGCCAACTCTTGGGCTACTATTTTAACATCAAATACCGTCACATTATAGCACCTCCACTGCGGAAAGGGCGAGTATGTTCGTGATGGGATTCGAATGCGCAATCCACAGCATGCGAGTCGAATGTTCTAACCTCCAGGCCATACAGCCCCTATAATATAAAACACTCTTAGTTTTAAAAGATCGTTGAATGACATGTAGGTTAGGGCACTGAGATCTCAATATGCAGTTACAATATTACATGGCCTGGAGGTTAGGGCACTCGGCTCTCAATCTGCGGTTACAGCGTTGCATGGCCTGGTGGTTAGGGCATTCATTTTTCAATCTGTGGGTTGTGGGATTGAATTCTATCACGAATATACTAGCCCTTTCAGCGGAAGGGGGGGGGGCGTTATTTCCACTATTTGATTAGAGTAGCCCAAGAGTTGGCGGTGGGTGATATTGATTAGCTGACTTCCTTCTAGCAACAAATAAACAAGCTGGCTTTAGAAATGTTTATCAGCATTATAATTTGTTTTAGTTTTAGAATTAGTGTATGTGTAAACTGTCTGCGATTCAAGAGGAGAAAAAGAATGGGTAAACACTTTAGAACCGCTTGTTTCCTTTTAAATCCCAGAGCAGTTTCACTATTATGTTTTGCCCAATCTCTATGAGGTTAGTTAATACTGATTTTTACTACTTACATAGTGTGACAGGCGTTTGTCCACTGGTGAACATAAACGATTCTCGATTGACGTCATTTTCCATAAAACCTTAATGTAAGTTTTGTTTGTGAAAGCAGCAAATTTTCCATGTTTGGCACGAACACTGCGGTGAAGTATACCACAAAGGGGTTCCTTCCGATACCTAGAGAGCCTGCACGTTAGGAACCCATTAAAAAAGAACCTGTGAGATGAACGTGGGTCGCTTGATTGATGGCAGTTCAGTCCTGACAATAGGCAGTTACATAAAAACTGTTCAAATACGAAGAAATGATAAGTTAAAATGTCAGCCATGTTTATTCACTTAAAAGGTGTACCGTAAGCAAAATCTTACTAACGGTAAATAGGGGGGAGGACAAAAGTAAACGTTGAAAGTGCGTCTCCAGGACAATTGCCTTTCACGAGCTAGGAACAATGTGTTGCAATTTAACAAATTGAATAATCGCCTGTTTCCAATACACCAAACGACAATGGAATACACTTATAGCGACAGTTAACAGAGTCAATCCTAAAATGAAAATTTATTTGTAAACCCTAAAAGAAACCCATTTGCATATCCTAATAACTACACAAAACCAGCTTGACTTCATACATAACTTGAGATATGTTTTCGGTGAAACCAAATGAAAACATTAAATGCAAAGATTCTGTTATTCTGCCAACATTACCAACAACTGTTTATTTCAACAATCTAAAATTCTTCATTCAGCCTCGCCCTAATATTCAAATGTGCTTTTTTGTATTACACTAACAGTTTTAGATTCTCTACCACCACTTTACCCACACTAACTTGTAACAAACATGTAACAGTTTTAGATTCTCTATCACCACTTTACCCATGCTAACTTGTAACAAACATGTAACAGTTTTAGATTCTCTATCACCACTTTACCTACACTAACTTGTAACAAACATGTAACAGTTTTAGATTCTCTACCACTACTTTATCTACACTAACTTGTAACAAACATGTAACAGTTTTATATTCTCTACACCACTTTACCCATGCTAACTTGTAACAAACATCTAACAGTTTTAGATTCTCTACCACCACTTTACCTACACTAACTTGTAACAAACATATTCCAACTATCACAAATAATTGAACTCACCCCAATCCCCTACACCCAACTGCTAAAGTAAAAAAATAAATAAAAAAATAGTCATGAAATAAATGTAAAAGATAACTCTTATCCTTTCATATCTGTATTGGTAGAAATGAGCAACATTTAAAAAATCGTACTGCCATATATTGTAAGTTTGGAAAGAAGGGTTTGTAGCCATTGAAACACAGCTGTTAGAAAGCTATTATCGATCTAAAATATGTTATAAGCCTGGAAAGAAGGGTTTGTAACCATTGAAATACAGATGTTAGAAAGCTGTTATTTGTTAGTTCTGAAGATATGTTGGCAATAATTTGAAGTGCAGAGAACGAAATACTGTTAAAAATTCAAGAAACTTTTGTAATTCGGTAAAAAAGAAGTTTAATCTTGAACAACCAACTCCTTCTGAGCTTTTATTAGTCGTATAAGGTACTTGAAGAGTAAAGGAGAATTTATAACAATATTATAATTAAAATGCAAGTCATGATTCAACTTCATCAGTGTTTGTTATGGTTGCAAAAGTGTTTACATAAAGTTGTCATGTTAGTGTCTGCATTACGTCATTATGGTTTCACTGGTGTTAACATTATATTGTTATGGTTTGAGTGGTGTTTACATTAAGGTATTATGGTTTCAATGGTGTTTGCATGGGCAGTTATGATAGGAAGTACAGAGCTAAAATCTTGTTTCAATCCTAAGTAATTTATGGTATTCCTTTCTTTCTGAAAGCTAACTTTGGAGTGAAAATTTCATCACTACACCATCAGTTTTCTGTATTCTCTGTAGTACTTCATTCTTGTAGAAATCTGGAAATCTAATCATCACACCATCGGTTTCCTGTTTTCTGAATAGTACTTTGTGGGTGTGTAAAACTCATCACCACATCATCGGTTTTCCGTAATCCCTGTAGTACTTCACTTTTTAATAGGTGTTTGCTGATTGATTCATTGTATCTTGTATTATTTATTTAAAAGGCTGCAAATTATTGAATTATTTCATCAGACCTTTCACTTAAACCCCCCACTACGTTTTCTGTAACTAGCTTTAAAGTATATGGTAGAAGTAGGCTTAACGACCTGACAAATACCAACAACCCACCTACAAAGAACAACAAATGGTGTCAATAATAGATAAAAGTAGTAATAGAAAACATGAGTTTCACTTTTTTTCTTGTTGAAACTCACAATGTCGTGATGAAAAAAATATTTAAATTATATACCATTATGTAGCTGAATGAAATTGTTGTAGATGGCGCTGTGTTTTATTTTCATTTAGTGCAACGAAAAATCTAATGGTCGGTAGAGAATTTAATAACATCGTAAGTTATTAAAATATTCAAGAAATTTAATGCTTTTATGTTATATTATTAACTAGGAAATTTAAAATTATACTCGATAATTCATTTTGTTTCAGATCTGAAGAATGTATGGATAGTTATTGATTATTGTTTGACACTTACAATGCATTCACTAAAAAAATTTCATAATATTAATATTGACTCACTATTACTATTAGTAATATTACTATTGCTTATTTAGTATTTTTATTAGAAGCACTTCGATTTTTATTTAAACTTATTAAACATCTTTATTTTAACTTTATTGAGGTCTAGTGATGAAAATAAAAAAGAGAGTTGTTTAAGTTTCCTGATTTATTAGTTTGAATATTGAAATATGAGGAAAAGTTTAAAACGACGTTAATTATTAACATTAAGTTTTAACTTACGTTTAAGAACAAGAGCTCCTTCCACTAACTAGGTACTAAGGTAATGCAGTTAATAGTGAAGGAACAAATCATGGCTTTATACCTCCTGCCATAACTGAAAAAATTGAGAAATACAAATAAGGACAACTATTCATTTTTTAAAAGTTTAAACTATTAATTTTGAAATCTTTGACTGATTATTTGAATATAATATATCTACTAGGAGTTAGAAGTAGTAGGGCTGATTAGCCTTACTACTAGTAGAGTTAATAAACTTATAAGATTAAAAATATGTAATCAGGGCATTTTCAGTAAGTAAAGAAAGTTTTTGTTTGGAATATTTTTGATTCTTAATATAGAAAAACAACAAAAAATAAATAATGCTTATAATATACCTTCAGTGAAAATCTTTGGGTGATGAAAACATTCAATAGAGTAGGTTTGTTAACATTTTCAATATGATAATTCTTAATAATTATTCACACATTTATTAGGTGACTGTATGATGTATCATGAATATGTTAATCGAGCTATTTTAAAGTTACACCTGTAATCTTGTTACATGAAAAAAACTGGTGTTGAATGTGCCTTCCAGTTCTTATTGAAGATGCTTATAAACATAGCGATGCTACTATAGTGTGCAGTCTACACAGAAACTATCATCATCACCATTTTAATGTTTCATTAAAACATAAATTAAGGTGCTTACAAAACACAGTTATCTTGTATAGGAATTTTAATTTTTAAATTATTGTTATGTGTTTGTTTGTTTTTTATTTATATCTAATATTTTTATCATATTTAATAACAAAGTAACAAAAAAGAAACTTTTACTGAACAAGCAGTTGTGTTGTGTGAGGTGCATACATTAGGATTAAGTTAATTATATTAAGAGTAATATACTTAAGTTAATGTATTGGCTGATAATTTTAAATGTAAAATTAATGGTTAATATATGTAGTTCTTTTTTTTTTAGAAGGTGCATTAGTTTTGATGAATAATGAAATGTAAAAATTACATGTCATGTAAGAAAATAAGATGTCATATATTGGTAAAATTTACATAGTAGTGGTTTGACAAAAAGTCTACTAATTTAGTCATAAAATTGCTTTCTTCCTGTCTCTTTGTTTTAACAGCCATAATGGAGTTTATTGGTCAGAATGATGGAGATGAAAAAGTATCATCCACAAATAAAGCTACCGAAGAACAAGTTTTTGGATTTTCCATCCTTTCAGACAATTCTCTTCAGGGTATTGGAGACAGTGAGATGATACATTTACCTCAACAGGTTGAGCTAAATGATGAACAAATTCACTTGAACCAGAAAAATGGAGAAGAAATTATTCTCTTGATGAATGCAAGCCAAGGAGATGCACATGGTGACCCAAGAACTAGTCATGACTCTGAAGGAAATACTGAAATCACTACTGTTGGCAACTTACCTGTAACTGTAAACACTGGTGCTGTAAAGATGGAGTATGGAAAGGAAAATGGTGGCATTTATGATATGTTGCCTTCTGAGTTGGATGTTTTAAAGGATGGGAATACAGATACTCTGTCTGTTGATGTTTCTCATGTTTTACATTCAGCTTCTAAACAGAAAGGTCTTGCAAGAAAAGTACAAGATGATGACTCTGGACCAGTACATGACATGTCAGAAGAAGCTAAGTGGAAGACCGTCACCGAGGGATTTGTTTGTTCAGAAACTCTGAAGAAGGGAAAAGGTGAGCATTATAACAATGTTTCAGATTTTCAGGGTTTAGAAAATGCTGTCATAGAAAATAACAAGTGTTTACCAAAAGGATTTCATAAAGAAGAGTCTTCTTGGAAAGAAAATATCCCTAAACCTGGTGTTCCTATGGGCAAAAGATCTCAACTTTGTGTCACTTGTGTTAATATATGTGAGTCTGATTTGGATCAGGTTGAGACTGAAGTGGAGTGTAAACAGAAGGACAGTGCTAAATCCTCTGATCGTCTACATTGGCCAGTCATTGCGAAGCTTGAGAGGGAAGACTCTTCTTTAAAACAGATTCTGCCTACAGAAAAACTTGAAAATATTTCCTATCAGGTTTTAAATATCTTAGATAAGGAAACAGTGGATGTACAAGTAGAAAACTGCAACCAAGGTAGAGTTGTAACTCAGGTTTCTGGTCCAAATTATGTTAAGGTTTCAAATCACAAAGAGGAATATGACCAAGCTCAAAATTTTGGTATGGGTGGGGCCCAAGTTTTAACTGGTAGGGACAATTTCAATCAAAACACAGTCGTAGCTCAAGCTTGTGCTTCAACTTATAGTATTCACACAGGGGAAGATGACCAACAGCATTTGTTGCCTCAAATTTTTGATTCAATGAACAACCAAGTTTCAGTACCCAAGGAGGAATGTGATCAAGATGGAATTATAGGTCCAGCTTCTGATCCAAGTAACATCTTAGCTTCAACTCCAGAAGACAAATCTGATCAAGATATTATGGGTACAGAAATCATCAGTTTAAATGGCATCCAACTTTCATCTTATAAAAAGGAGTGTCACAAAGAAGACATAGTTGTTTCAGCATCTAAACCAAATGACATCCAGGATTCAACTACTGAGAAGGAGTGTCACAAAGAAGATATCATTCAAGTTTACTGTTCAGAAAAGCAGTTAGGTGAGCAAAATAGTTTAGTTCAATTTCAGAATTCCTGTACCAAGTTTGATCAGTCCTCATTAAAAACCAATATATTGTCTATACCTGAACTTGGAGACATGAAAAAGGCCTTCGAATTGCAAGATGATGATTGTTGCTTTAGTGTGAAGCATGAGCCTCAAGCAGCAGAAGAAATGCTCAAAACTCTTATGGAAAACAATAGAGACAGCAGTATACAAGTGGCAGTGCCATATGAGCTAGAGACCAACGTGCAGAAGAGCTGTCGTGAAGGGATTAATGATTCTATAGGAGATCTTAGTCACACTTACAAGGAATTTTTCACAAAGGAAAATGTTTTGAAAAGTTATAGTAAGAAAGCAAGCTTTGAAAGTCACATCATTATACCTAAGATAAAGGGTAAGAGTGAACAGTTAGTAACTATGTGTAAAACTCCAGAGTCTAAAGATCAGGTAGAATGGAGTGACTCGAGTGAGACTCTAACAGATAACAAGTCCCAAACAGCAAAGAAAAGGAAAATACAGGCTGGTTCTGGCACTTGTGGAAAACAGTTAAAAATAGTTGAAGCTACACTTTCAGATAGTATAAAGGAAAATAAGGAAATGGAAACAATGGTTGAAATGACTCCTCGTACGAGTCGGAAAAGGAATACCTCAAATATTGTTGGATTAAGAACACTCTATTTAAGGTCAAGTGTAAAAAAGATAAAAAAATATTCAGAAAGTCATAGTTCTCATGTAAAGAGCATTCCAAAATTGTATACAGATCAAAGTGATAAAGATGAGATGGAAGCTGATCAATCAAACATTTCACAAATGAAAACTAACCTAAGACTTGAAGCAGACAAACAAAAAGACACAGATGTACAAGGTATTACAGATCATATAGTGAAAAATAAAAATAAATCAAAACGAAATCAACCTAGTTGCAGAGAGTCAGAAAATACATGTGAAGAGAGAAGAAAACAGACACCCAGACTGTCAGTACATAAGTCTAATAGATTTACAAATGAAATACAAATTAACAAGAATTTTAGTGAACTGTTAGAAAAACAGTGGGCAGAACTAACTGGTAGACGATTGTCACATTCCAAAACAAGAAAAAAACTAAAAAAAGTGAGTTCACTACACCTAAAGAGGACGACAGACAGATTAAAGTCAGTGAAGAGAAATGTGAAGAAAACAGAGTTTCTGAAGCAGGTGGTAATAAACAGGAACAGAATTTAGCAGCACCTCTGGAAAAGGAGTACGACATTCGATTAAGGTATCAATATTCACCCCCTCACAAAACAACTATGTACAGTTGCTTTGAATGTGGTTTCTCAACATCTCGTTTGTGTAATCTTGTATATCACTATAAGGCATCGTGTCCAGCTTTCTTTCAGAAGGATTTATGGAAAGAGGCTGTTCAGGAAAAGCTACAAACCAGATTTTCTACTGAGAGAGTGGTTCCAGAGAAATGTCCATCAAGACATGTGATTATAGCTTCAACTGAAAAAACTTCCAGTAAAAACAATACCAAGAGGAAGCTTTTTTCTCAGGATAAATCAGAAAGAAAGACAAATGTAAACCTTGAAAAATATCATCAAGAATATGAAAAACAGTAAGTACCATATCTTAACAGTTATTAAGTGTATTCAGGTCCAATTTAACACTAATATTCATACCATTGTGACAGTTCTTGAGTGTATTCAGGTCCAATTTAACACTAATATTCTTACCATTGTGACAGTTATTGAGTGTATTCAGGTCCAATTTAACACTAATATTCTTACCATTATCACAGTTATTAAGTGTATTCAGGTCCAATTTAACACTAATATTCTTACCATTATCACAGTTATTGAGTGTATTCAGGTCAAATTTAACACTAATATTCATACCATTGTGACAGTTATTTAGTATATTCAGGTCCAATTTAATACTAATATTCTTACCATCTTGACAGTTATTGAGTGTATTCAGGTCAAATTTAACACTAATATTCGTACCATTGTGACAGTTATTAAGTGTATTCAGGTCCAATTTAACACTAATATTCTTACCATCGTCACAGTTATTAAGTTTGATGACGAGGAACCCACTTTGAGACTAATAATGGCTGGAGACAGCTTGAATGGGTAATGAAGAAAAACTTTAATATAAGTTTAACA